AACATCCTTAAGTCACGGAAACGTTAGTCGGGTAATTACCGACTGCGTATGAGTGCAGAAGCTAGTTAGTCGCTTTCGATGACTGAAGCGCTTTGAAAGGGAAATCCGACGAAACGCGAACTCGCGCGGATAGAAGTGTATCATCGTCGCGGGAGTTAAGAACGAGAGTCATCCTCGTCGAGTGGAAGCGAAACCACTGCAATTAAGCAACTAGTTCTTCATTTCGCCCTCACCTCCTCTTTTCTTTCGTCTTTATTCCCATTTCTCCCTCTCACCCCGCATCGCGCTCAAACCCATCTTTTTGCGTCTTTACGTTATAATTAGCGCATCTTCAATTTTCCTGCCGGTGCACGTATTTGCTTTGCATAACTGCCGGGATAATTAAACAAGCTACGATTCTAAGACATGTCACCGACAGCCGGCGACGATGCAAACGGCGGCAGTCCACGACAACTCGGAAACACGAAGGGACGCAGTCAAGCCTACTTCTCGAGTTTTCTGTTTCTCAGACATGTAAATCACGTCGACATCTTTCGTAGTCGTCTCGCCAAGTAATTATCGCTCCTCGTGCACGAAGCGCTACCTTACTAGCACAAGGAATCGGCCAAGAGTAATATAATGAATGAATAAAACATTTTATGTCTCTCGAGAAAACTCTGAATTGCGAATATGACTTTGTTGAAGCACACGTATACACACACACACACACCAATGCGTATATATATATCTACGTTTTGTGTGAATAATTGTGAAATGGAGACTCTCTTTGTGCTCTCTAAAAATAATTTACTTGAAATGTCTGCGCAAATATACCGGCTCTTAATTAGAAGAAAAAATGTTTGGCAAACTCGCGTTTAATGGAATGTAAACCTCCGGATATTCCCTCAATCTGTATAAAAATAAATCAAATAATGCCGGATAGTTTGGAAGCTGCGTTAATTTGAGCGTGTAACGCGGGAAAAAACATTTTTTCAGAATTTTTTCAAGAGGAAGATTAAAAATTGCTGTCTCTCTCTCTCTCTCTGTCTCTCTCTCTCTCTTTCGCTTATCTTTTATATTTCAATAGTTGCAAATATCATATCTAACGATTGCAATGCTAACACGTACATGTTTGTTCTTTAATAAAGGCTCTTCATCAAACGCAGCGCACGGGTCATGTTCAACAACGGCGCGCGTGCGCGCGTGTATATAACGCCAAGATCGCGCTTCGTTAGAATCGGCCTCGCGGCAATCCACGCAAAAATAACGGACTGATCCAGCGCGGACGTGTGGAATGGAAACGTGAATGTTGAAAAAAAAAAAAAAAAAAAAATATATATATATATAATAATTTATCCGGTGCGCGATGGACTTCAGACGGCGGTGTCGGTGTTCGACGCCGACGGTAATGCAACGTTTTTCGGTTCGCCACGCATCACGAATCCATTGAAAACAGCCGGAAACGATAAAACAATATACCTGGTCGCGCTCGACAGTGCCTCGCATCGAAAACACTTGGAAAATGTATTGAAAACACTCGAAAATGATTGAAATCAAACAAGTTACGGGGTTGACGAGTGAGCGCGCGAGAAAGAGCGAAAGCGAGCAATCGAAAAAGAGAGAGAGAGAGAGAGATGGGGAAGGGGAAAATCTGTCTCTCTATCGAACATCCCAAATACGCGAGGTCGATAGTTCAGATCGAACCAACGATTTCGGACACTGCTGGCTGGCAGGAGATACTATCAACGCGAGCAGTGGCACAGAAGGGTAACTCGACCGCGAATAAATTGGTCGTTTCGGGGTCGGTATATCCACGTCGAGTACTCTATATTTTCGCCCCGGGCTGGCCGATCAAGCATCCGGCGGATTATACGGATGCTGATTTTCGTCAGCTCATTCGACGGCGCGACACGACGCAAAAAACCGGGTGTACGAGTGTCCAGCGGTGCGTTTCTGACCGGTGCGAATGTCTGAGCGCGCACCGCTGATTCTGAATTCATTCCGAATCATCATCCGACGTGTCGACCTCAATACAGCGATCTCGTATGTAATACTCGTCAGTTATACAGCCATCTTTCTAACATCAATATTTTGACATTTTTAGTAAACAGATCAATGAGATGAACATTAGAATATTATAAAATTATAATAAGATGAATATTACAATATTATAAAAAAATTAAACGTAAAATGAAAACGATGTAGATTTGAGACCAGGTGTTTTGCAAGATATGAGTTTTGTATATTTTTTTTATAATTTCATGATTATTATACCATGTCGGTCGATGAATGATTACACGTTCAGTTAATAATAATTATGTTTTCTTTGCGAGCGTAATAATTATCCGACACAACGAACTTAACACTCATATTGTTAATACTTGCGTAAAAACCATTAGAGTGAGCGATACGAACACACCGGCTCGTCACAAAGAGAACAACACTTCGCGCTGGAAATACAATAATAAACGTTGCACAATTAAAACATAAATAATCGCAGTTTACATAAATAATCGCCGGTATTGACGCGGTCGTTAATGAAACGCTGGTAATTATTAGATTTATTCGTTAATAATTGCCAGGCGGAGTGATGAGCCGTATCGATAATTAACAGGGCAATGTTGTCGAGTGGACGAATTAACGCGCGATGAATCTGCAATTAGAAAGAGAAAAAAAACACTCGCTCGATTCCGAAGCGAGCGTTTATGAAATATACAGACTTATGGAAGCATGAAATATGAATAAAATTATATCGCTCGGATCCGGGGAAACTTCGTTTATGCGTCAGACGGGCAATAATTATGTCGCCGGGGCAATTATTTCGATGGGACGTCATTAGGTGAGCTGCTACAATTTCGCTGTTACGAACAGTCACGCACGCGATAATCGCCACGTTTCTCTGTCTCGAGCCGTGTTCCCACTCGGTAGGAAATTTCGCACATTGGCATGTTAATACTGTAAAATATTAGCAGTATCGTATAGAGGATGATCTTTTAGAAAAAAAATTAAAACAATTAAATCGCGCAGATTAATTTACGGACAAATAATACTTGAACAATGAAAAATTATCTATTAAAGTAAATTTAAACAATAGATTTCTCACAAAACTTTCCGAAGTGACTCGAAAAAATCAAAAATAAAGTTTAAAATTATTCATTCGTTACATAATTTTTTATATAGTTACGTAAGAGTATGTGTAAACAGAAAAAGAGAGATGTAATATTGTTACAAAAATTAACAATATATTACATTTTACATCCATATCACTCGAAATCAGTCGGCGGAGTACGTTTTACATCTGCGGTCTAACACGCAGTCTATTTGCACTATGTTCATCAGGGCGGAAATGGAGCTGTCGCCTCGTTTCTTCGCGTAATTAGTACAAGCCGACAATCGGTCCATAATATTGCAGACGTATCGGATGAACTATACGGGATAATACGAGATGAATACGGAAGCGTGCGCGCGCGTATCAACACTTCTCGTCCGCGTCAATTCATTAAGACAGCTTTCATGGTGCCGGTTACCGGCGCGATTATTGCCTCGCCTGAAGCGTCCCAATCAACAAGGATCGTCAGATATCCTTGTATGAATGTGCGCGCGTTAAGGTACGAATGAACACGAGCGGATACCGAAGGGGATGAGGAGCAAACGGGAGAGAAATAGAAGATAATTCCCGTTGTTCCGCGTTGGACGCCCGCGAGGCGGCCACCACTTCAAAGCCGTTCGATTCTCTCTCTCCCCCTCTCTCTTTCTCTCTCTCTCTCTCTCTCTTTCTCTCGAAGCTGTAGCTCTCTCATCGAACCCGGCGTCTGGCAGTTAATGAACTGCCCTTCGGCAGTCGCAACGTACTCACCGTCTAGGAAGCCAGCCAACCGCTGTAGAACCATTATCCATTTACATAAAGGACTACTACACATCAAGAGGGTTTGCGCCGCGGTATTTCGCTTCTTTTCTCTTTTTCTCCTCTCTCCCTTTTGAGAATTACCTCTCTTAAAGAAGACCATATCTCGCAAATTAAAATAGTCTTTGATATAAAAATATTACCTAACAACTTTCACGGACCTCTCTCATTCGAGCGAGCTCACTGTTATGAAAGCTATATTTTATGATTATCGTGACGATTTTACGCTGTACGCTCGAAATGATTCTACTCCTCTTGATGTTGCACAATTTTATTGCAGCAAATGTGAGTTTCGAAAAACGATTTGAGAATTAGAAAAAGTATCGAGAGTGCATTATTTTAGAAGATATATATATGATTTTTTATTATCGCACATATACCGTTTTTTTTTAGAGAAGCAAAGATAACTGACAGTTATATTTTTCTCTGTCGTTCATTGTTTGTTTTACGCGATATACTGGAAGTAGTTAAAAAGTATATAAGATAAAATGGCACATGTGTGCGACGCTTTTTATCGGTTACTAATACATCATTTCCTGCAATTACGCTCAATCAAATATCTTATCAATACTTAACGGTCATTGATAATAGCAGACACAGAGATACATGTATACGTGCCGCAAACATCTATCACAAATGAAGCACATCCGTGCATGCAGGAAACCTCTATCTGTATACATATATATCTCACTGTAATAATTTACGAATGAGCGAGGGGGCGTATCGTAACGTTATAGACCGTATAAAACTTGCCGCATCAATTAAAAATTAGATGGACGTCGGTATCTAGAAAAACATCGATAAAAACTCGAAGCTTCACAAAATAACGAATAACCGAACAAGAAAAAAATCGAAATCAAAAAAAGAAACTTTCCACGTGAGAAATCACCGCATCTCGAGTGGCGACATCTCTTGCGCTTATCACCGGCCAACAGCTGACGACGTTCGCCGGCAGCGGCAACGAAAGGGAGAAGGCGAACGGCGCTTCTCCGCGCGCACTCGCGTGCCGTTCTCAACCCCCGGTCTCTTTTCAACGAAGCACCGCCGGTGCTGCATCCCCTGTCGTTGCTCACAGACGCTTTGACTCACTTGTTCGCTCACTCATTCACTCACTCACCTGAACCATTGATGTGTGCTGACACGCGAGACAGACGTCCTCCCCGCTTGGCGGCAGCCTGATGGCGTAGTTGGCCGACCCGGGTTGACGCTCACCGTACATCCGGCGGTACCATCGACGTAGCGCGTCCCGATGGACGACGACGACACGAACACACTGACGCGAGTAAATTGCTCGCCCGCTCGACGTATCACGGAATCACGCCCCCGCGAATAATATCGACACTTCCGAGAGGAAGAAAAAAAGAAAGACTCGGGCGCGTTTATTTACGGAGGCTTCGCTGTGTTATCAGTCGGCGGCGGCTCTTGCTCGGTGCGTGCAACTCGCGGCATACAACATCGCGCATGCGACAAGCGCGCGCGCAACCGGTGGATCGATCAGCCTCCACGACGGTGAGCACCGCGCTGTCTCTCCCACGAGGAAGGTTTTACCGTTGCGATAGGGGTCGAAGTTGAGGTTGAGACGAGAAGTATAGGAGTTTTTGGAAATATATAGTTATTTACTGTGGATATATAATTTACGGTTAACTTAACTTTGTGTGAAATTCGCAACTTCTTTTTGAAGGCGGTTCAGCAAAAGTTAATGGAAAAGTTTCTGTATGTTGTGTTTGTTTTGTGGCATCTCTTGCGAGTTGTATTATCAAGTTATTTTGAGTTGTCAAGTTTGCGTATTAAGAAACAAAAGTTTTTAGAGAAAGAAGTCAAATCAATTTATATAAACTTAAAAAACAATGTGATATACATAAGACTTAACTACATAATTAAATACTTTCAAAAATATAATTCAATGATTTTTACGCGAAAATTCTTGAAATATTCCCATAATTAATTTTTTCTTGTTACAGGAGCATTCGAAATAGTCACATTATTTTGAAAATTGTGCATTTTAGTACGAAATTATTACTTTATTTATTTATTAAAAGTTTTATTACCTACATGTTAGGTTAAAAATATATAGAAAAAAATATATTGCAAAATATATATATGCGTGTGGCAGGTAGGAGATTATAATAACTCGATAGAGAGATAATTAAATTAGACAAGACTGTAGCGATGGAAACTGATGGAAGATGTTGGAATATAGTAGAAATATTTCATCGTCGATAAATCGAGGAGCGGGCTACGCCGGCTCTTCTATATCTGAAACCTGCGAAAGTAATTTCGGCCGCGGGCGATGAATTGTTCAGGAGCTGCGCTTGATTATAGGAGCGTAATAACAGATTTAGACGGTGATGTGATCGTCGCGGCGTGCGCGCGGAATTATCTTCCAGGATAAGAGTAGCGCGTTTTACATATTCAAGAGGATAGCCGCAACACGGAAGGAAGCGAAACTTTACGGCCGCTGATTTTCCGGATCTTTAAGTTTACCTCGGTTGCGTAAAACGTCGCGGATCATGGCTGATAAAAATACTCCCCTTCTCTCGACTCGAACAACTCTTGTCGGTACCGACCATCTTGCACGCAACTCTGGCTACTTCTGGCGAGCGCTCGTTTTCCGCACGATTGTCACCGGGAGAAGGCAGAAAGAACTTTGAATAATTCCAGAACCCTCTGGACAAAACAAGTTTTGCGGTACATAGCGATTGCATACCGCGCGTCCGTGCATACCGTGCGGAAAAGAGAAAGCACTTGACAAAGAAATAGCAAATACCTTATCTTACGTGATGTACAAAAATGGATGAATATTTTTTACAAAAATACAAACAAAATACAAGCAAAATATAAACATGTAGTAAACAGATGACAACCGCGTAAGAGTATGTGTATGATGAAGTGCTCAAATATAATAAAACTTGTGCGCTTCAAGTAAAAATAAATTCTCATCAGCGAATAGCTGTTTTTACACATGTGTGTGCACATATGTATAAATTATTATTTTTAAATAGATCGTGCTCTTAATATTTTATTACATTTTGACTCTACTACTGCGAAAATCAGTTTGACGGAAGTCACTTGTCTCCTCTCTCTCTTTTTGCGTCGACTGCTGAAATATCCGAGAGATTGTGTAATAATGCACCACGTCGGTCTCGGCTTTGGAAATATTTTGCAGCATTCGACACGTTTACGTTCGTGCTGTGTGTGACTCTCATCTCGCGGCGGTGTCAAGGGGGTAACGATGTGCCGGCGGGTATACGTGGATAACGTCGTGTGAATTATTTATCCGAATGGAATTAAGTTTAAATATTTTATCCGCGGACTAATCTCCCGGGTGTGCGGAGTACAATTTATTTACGGGCATTTCTCGTCGAGACTCGCCGGCGGATCCGTTTGCCGGCCGCAAAGTCCCGGCGATATAAACGCGACAATACGCGAACGAGTTCCGTTGAGCGGGCGCGACGCGGTTTTCTCGAGACTTGCGAGAAACTCGTATCGCGTCGACACATTTAAAAATAAGACACGAACGATCGATATTGCTGCATTCCGCATAGCCAGTTCCATCTTCGCCAGTATATATAACGGTAATGGGTGTCGTTTTCAAATTGAGCCATGCCACGCGATGTTTAAAAACTCGCGCGCTCATTTGTCGCGTGTCGAAGAGTTGTTTCGTTTATACACACGTGAAAATGTGTCAGGGAAAAACAGATGTGTGTACGTGTGAAGTACGCGTAAACAGAAAACGTAGAGAGAGAGAAAGAGAGAGAGAGAGCAAACGTAGACACACATCGATAACGCGGAACGGGTGAGTAAACCGCGGTGCAAAATATTGATCTTTTTACAAAAATAGGCCAGTAGTGGAGAGACACGGGAAATAAAGATGAATATCTGAAACAGTTATATTTGCAGCGCGTTTTCTCGGTCGTTCTTTATCCGATATACAGTCAGGAGTTCAACGACTGACGCCGCCATAAGACGATCCGCCAGTTCCTTCTCTTGCAAATGACGTTGTTGCGACGTCTCCGAATACAAGTCCTCGGGAAAACGAGCGACGAGTCGAAACTCGCCGTTTTCTCGAGCGTGATGCCGGCTTTTTGACACGGCGGCGCGTCCTCATTCGTGGCTCTTCTCTTCGGATATCTGACAGCACGCTTCAAGAGATCCTCTTGCATCGCAATGTCCGTCTCTCCTCGAATTTTCACGATCCTGCGACAAACGAGATATACTGTTACTCTTCGACGATGATCTTCGAGCACGGTGTCTTGCTTTTGCGATCCTCTTCAGCATCTCTGCTCCATTACAGAGATACGCGAATAATTGCGCGACGAAAAGTAAGCCGAAGTACCAGGCGGAACAAAGAGGAAGGGATGATCGCAAAAAGGCTCAATTTACCTTTGAGGCGGTGGCGTTTTGATCCTTCAAAGAGGGCGGGCAACATTTTTGAGCGATGAAGCGTCTCGGCTGTGAACACAAAAGGGTATAAGTGCTCGCGGGACGAGCGAGCGGGCTTGCTTTGATCGGATAAATAGGAAAGAGAGACGAAAGAATCAAATGGTATTCACGGACGTGATTTTACACTTTGTCCCGCGCTCTCGTCGATAACCCTCGTTGAGTCTTTCAGCGGAAACGGTACCGCCTTGTGTTTTATTTGAGAAAGAAACACAGAATCGGACGGAGAATAAAATGCTGTTTTATCGTTGACGCAATAAGACAGAAGAGAACAAGATAAATAACGTCACGTGACTTTCTGAACGATCTAATCTTACAAGTGTTGTTATTAATATTTTTTTTTCTTATGTCGAGGTAGGATGTAAAAGTTTTCGGGCGATATTTCGTCGCTAGAGACCGAGTGCCTCTGAGATTAGCTTTTTTTTTTTTTTTTGCTTCTTTGCTGAACTGAAATTGAAAAGAAGCGAGGCATAAATTAAAGTGCGATTAAAGTCACGGCGCGCGCGCGAAGCCGAGTTTAAATAAAACCAATATTCCTTGCTCTCCCTTCTCGTCGCACGGAGATCGATGTCAAGCCGGAGCGAGCGAATAAGACATCGCGTGTGTCGCGCTCTCGTTCACGAGAAACACACTGCAAATGAAATTTCTGTCGGAGAGTATGTGGGGCTACTTCTCCTTGCGAAAGGTGTAGCGTTGATTCATTCACGTGTGCGCGCGCGCTCGTTCCTCTTATTCGCTCTCCCGTACCCTCAATTTCTGCCTACCCTCGTGGTCGTTGCGGTTCGCGGCAGTAGCTTTGTACATATAATTGAATTTACGTGCGAATAGCGGTACTATAGAGGGAGGACCGTTTCTACAAGAGGCTCATTGTTGCGTTCAGGTCGACGCCAATCGCATATCTTACGTTTCATAATACACTGTCGAATGTATTCGTACACGCAGCTGCAGTTAATTGGCAAAACAGGTGCGGGGGCTTGCGACAAAACGAGCAAGTAATACGCAATAGTAAAAAAATTGTAACTTGATACTACTTTGCGAATATTGGAATATTTTAGTGCATACATTCGCGAAGCGCGTCAAAATTCGAATAATATGACATCTCGGTCGTAGATAATTAATGTAACAAAATTGCGAGAAAATTTTTCACGTGAAATTTCGCTTTGCATTGTTAAACTTCTCATCGAGATATTTTTGTTATTATTTGTTTGAGTGAAAATTGCGTATTAAAACATTTTTTTTCACGAATCTCTCTTTTTACAAAATTGAAAACTAATTTTGCGTAATTCATACACGCATTCATCACAAGAACCGTGATGGTAAGTTTCCGCTAGTATCGTATCAAATATTGTTTCTAGCGCACGATTCATTAGAGCGTAATTCTAGCGAACAAACGTTGCAGCGTACGTTCATTAATGGAACTTCCAACGGATGTTAAAACAATATTGTGAATTGTCCGTGCAGCCTTGATCAAAATTTAGTATTTGCATGAGAAAATTGGATGGGATTCGTAGCAGTTGCACTACCTATCTGGGAATCAATGCAGTGCAAAATTGCCATTTACATTTACAACTTGCGAACTATAAATAAAAATTATTTCCGAATGTCGACGATGTCTATCTGCAACTTTGACGTGACGTGAAATTCAAAGGTGAAAAATGCCGCGATGTAAACAGCAAAAAAAAAAAAAAAATAATCAATTGATGTCGCGCATCGATAAAAATTATTTCTTCGATTGTTGTGTAACACAGTGAATTCTTCGAGAATAGCTTGGCCAAGTAGGTGCACACATAGTAGCAATGACGTTCCACGCGAATAATCGTTAAGCTCGGAACCTTTGTAATCTCGCGAGATCAGGTCGTGAACGCATTCCCGGTTGAAATGGAATAATTGAATACAAGTTGCCAAAGTGCAATTGACTTAGCCGCGGCCGATACGAAACTAAGTTATTCTCGGAA